GCATCCAATGTATGAACGGAAATTAGGTGTTAAAAAAAGTTATCCAACGCACTTAAGATATTTTATGTTTTATGAAATAAAACTGTTTGTCCATTTTTAATTGAATTTGAATTTCCATCCAAACAGAGCTGGACATGATACCAAGTACCCTAATTCTGACCCACAGGACCCACAAGCAACACTTGAAGTTGGGTTCCAACACAATTTAAGAGTATCATGCACTGAATGGCACACAAACAAAACATGGGGTTTGGTAACTCAGAAGAAAACCAAGTTAAACATGCCAAATATTCTTCACACAGTTTATCTGATATACTTAACAGGTAAAACAGTAGTTTTCACATAAAACTTAAATCTGGATTTTTAAAGATACAAGAGTTCTTCCCATTTGGAAGAGAGATACAGCAGTCACTTAATAGCAGATGAGTATATTTAAGAATAAGTTTCCACTACAATCTGTATTCTCAAAACACAGCTTTATGTTTGGCCTCTGCCAAAAGATGATTTTTTAAAAGTTTGAGCAGAATCCCTTTGTTTTGGAAATGAGACCATAAAAAGCATTTTCCTCATCGCAAAGCAGCTGCCACTTTTCTCACTCAGGGATAACACAAACATCTGAGCTATGTAATGTCAAATTGAACTTGTAAATAGGCCTTGAGGAGCAGCAAGTGCTTTGCTAAGTTTAATGAAGTTTGGCTTAAATTTTAAGTAAGTTTGAAAGTGTGGAACTTAGCACATTTAGTAGATGATTCCATTAAGCCACTAGCTGAGTACTTATGTATGAAGTATACGTGCCTGCGCAGTAGTTAACTAAGCTCCATCTTCCTACTAGCTTCAGAAGGAGGGCAAAGTTGATTAGCAAGAAGAAAGCTTTGTCAACAGAACTTGTCAGCTTGTTAGGTGCACATGGTTGTGGTGCTAGCTGTACACAGTGCAAGAGTTTTGCACAATCAGCACAGCAAGGTGATGGCGGATGTTACATCCTCAATCCAAATAGTACAATGTGAAATATTAGCTGTGTACATAGCCTAAAACTATTTTACACAAGTGGATCTGTGACTGACAGGTGCCTGCTATATAACTGGGCACTTTTCCTTTAGATATACCTAGGAAATTAAACTCAAAAAAATCCTAAGCAAAAGGCTTCATAAGTACTAAGAAGTTAGGAAATGCAAGAGTTAAAGGTTGATATACATCTTTAGCTGCCCCTTGTGCAAACAACGTCAGACTTTGCAATCACAGGCTTAGATGCCAAGCAGCCAATGTTTTAGAACTAGCAATTACAAGTTTTCTAAGTATTCATATTTTAAGATGCAGAAGAAAGCCCATAAGAGCATTAATATATTAAAGTGAGAACTTATTGGCAAATTAAATAATATTCTTGATTTCAGTCTCCATTTCAGCCATCTCCTGTTCAGGTTCTCTTCAATTTTTTAAAGTCACAGTCTCTTGTGGGCAAACAAATACTGGTGTACATGAACTGCCTTGAGGTATTCAGTAGGTCACTGGTGACTACATTAAATAAAATTGGTGCTAGCACTGTGCCTTGAAGAAGTCTGTTCTTCTAAAAAGCAACAGAGAGTCCTCTGTTCTTCTAGAATCACCAGTTACAGAGCCATTTAAAAACATCTACCTCACAGCCTTAGCTAGCTGCCATGACAATCTATGAAGAATTCTGGACTTCTTATACAGCACACCAATCTGCCAAAAGGTGTCATAGGCTGCTGTAAGATCAATTTCCCAACAGAAGTAGATATACCACACTCTCCTACAGCCAGAAGTGTGACTGTCAGCTAAGCCTTTAGAATTTCATTCAGTGTAAAGTTCATAATAGATATTTGTCTTGAATCTCTAGAAGCAATCAAGTTCAATATGTCCTTGCCAGCCTACTCAATTCAGAAGGTGGAGCTTCTGACGAGCTCTCATTAGGCCTGATGTATAGCCCATCCCAACTGTCAAGACTGAAAGGTAACAAAACTATAGGTCGACTGAGAAAAGGGGACTGTGGGAGGAAAGGGGATGTAATTGTCAGCATCCATTGACAAAAAGGGTATTTCTGGACAAATGAAGCAATCTGGGGGTCTAAAAACAAATCTAACAAGATCTCCAGACTAATCAGACCGTAAGGCAAGAAAATGCCTTCTATGTAGGGCCTGTTATAGATTTTGCAAAGTCTTCAAAATAATTCCTCCTGCGAATCAGCATTATCTCCTTATTTTAAAGAAGCCTCAGCAAGTTGATTTTCATCCAGGTCCCAATATACACAAGGTATCAGAAGAGGTAAACAGCAGTATAAAGACAGAGCTGATTACACTAGCATGACATTGTCTCCCTAGTGGCTTCATGAACAAGGATGATGGAGTCTTGGGGGGACTCCAAGGGAGTGCCTTCAGGTAGAAGTCATAATACAGCTATTTAACGCTACTTTATATTGTCCTGAGGGATCAACAGATATTTGTCATTCATACTATGTCATGTAATCACATCAGCAGCACCACACAATGAACTCATTCACCTTTGTGCTTCCAATTTCCCCTCCCATGCTTTGCCTTGCCTGTTTAAACTAAGTGAGTGTACAATGCCTAGCACAACAGGACCCCAATCTCAGTATAAGTTTTAGCAGCACTAGAATACCTATAAATAAGACAGCACTGAAAACAGGTGAAAGATCCAGCCTTAAAAATAACAATCTCCTGCTGCTTTCCATTTCTAGGCAATTTACCATTATGAATATTACTATTTCTATACACAAACCATTGAGGCCTGATTAGATGGAATTTAAGACCCAAGTTGTTTCCTTTTGCATATGCATAAGATTGTGAGTTCAATCTTAACTTTAGCGTTTCTTGACTTTTGTTTCACAGTGCCATTTCATGCATTTACTATACAAGTCAGCTGTGTTAATGCCTAATTCAAACTCCATCTCGGGAGAAGGAGACTGAAGAGTTTCTCTGCCTGTTTATACAAGATGAAATTAGTGCTCATCAGGTTGTCTGTTCTTAAACCCTCTCAACTATACAACGTAGATTCACAGGGGTTCCCATTCACTGTATTACTCGCAATCATTCTTCTACACTAGGTAGAAAGGAAGTCTGCAGTACCAGCAGTTGTATATGGTTAGAGTGGCGGAGCTAAGAAGAGGAAGTGAGAAGCCAGACCACCACTTATATAACATTAATAGCTTCTCAATGTAAAGGATAGTAATAGACTCCTGATTTACATACCAACATATACAATTTGAAATTTAGTGTCATAAAATGGATACATAAACTCTATTTCTGTAAATAGCTATAGGAGCACAGTTTGGCAGTTTCAGCTATACATCCACATTGCACAGGGTCTTCAATTTAGGCAAACGATGTCAATCTAGACTATAATTTGGCATACAAACGGTTAGCCAGAGTATGATTTGGATATAAAATTCAGTTAAATTATACACTTTGTGAGAGTGATGAGGGAATTTGGTAACAGCAACCATAAATGCATAGACAGAATAAAAACCAAAGCCACTCCAACCACAAATATCCAACTTCATTCAGTTTTCCTTTGTTGAACTACACCTCTACCCCGATATAACACGAATTCAGATATAACGCGGTAAAGCCGCCCTCCGGGGGGGAGGGGGCTGCGCACTCCAGCAGATCAAAGCAAGTTCGATATAACACGGTTTCACCTATAACAGTAAGATTTTTTGGCTCCCGAGGACAGCGTTATATTGGGGTAGAGGTGTATAACTTCAGGGTGAATTTAGGGCTCTTAAAAGCTGGGGACCTACACCAGACTGAGCCACACAGTGCAGGATAATTAAGGGGTCCTTTCAGACAGGTTTATAAAAAAAAAAAAAAAATGTGTCTTTTTAAAAAATATATATATATATATATATTTAATTGAGAGTGATTGTCATTTCCTTTTAATATTAACCGAAATGACTTAAGTATGTAAATAAACATTGATTAGTTGAGTCCACTTTTATTTTCACTTGCAGCAAAATTTCAAATATAACTGTCTTCCAACTAGCTGACACATTAGTTTTAAGGTGGTTAACACCAATGGGTTCCCTACAGCAATTTACAGGAAGAGTCTATTAAGATGCTGTGGGGCAGCTATTGATGCCAATGTGTTTGCAGTAAATTCAAGACTATTTGAACGAAAAGTACTTCAATTAACAATTAAATCTGTCTTTTCAGTAATTGTGTTAATTGATTTCACTGACAGAACTGAAGTTTGATAGTAGTCCTCTGAAAGTTTTCAGGATGCTTGTGTAACTGAAACAAAATGTATGTGAACGATCTACAAAATGTAGGCAACCCATCCACAAATATTCATTTATTTAGTATACACTTCATACCTGAACACTTTACTTACATTTGCAAGCATCTGCATCATTTTTTGCATGTAGTCTCTAACAAAACCAATTAGTGTCCCTCAATTTACAGTCATGTTGTACAAGAAAAAGGTCAAATGGTTTCTTTTCAATCAGATCTGTTTGGCTAGACTTTTTAAGTCATCTGACGGTTTGGTCATCTTATCCTATTTTAAAAGCTTGTTCAAGTAATTTTACTCTCTACACCATCTCTGCTTCTTCTGCCATCTGTGGTTATTTTCTGCAGAAGCAGAACGTAATTGAGGAAAGCCAATTTGATATTGAAGTGTACCCTTCTCTGCAAGGCTCTATGCCAGTAGTTCTCAAAGTTTTGTACTGGTGACCCCTTTCACATAGCAAGCCTCTGAGTGCAACCCCCCTTATAAATTAAAAAACACTTTATATATTTAACACCATTATAAATACTGGATGCAAAATGGGGTTTGGGGTAGAGGCTGACAGCTCGCAACACCCCATGTAATAACCTCGCAACCCCCGATGGGTCCCAACCCCCAGTTTGAGAACCCCTGGCTCTATGCTTTTACTTGTTGTATCGTTTACTTTAGTCATTCTAATTTCCTGAATTAGTAAAAAAGCATAACAAAAAGGCCCAGCGCAATAATCTGCACATACTAACCTCTGTTCCAATACCAGGCTGAATTCCTGAGTAGATAGTGTCTGGAGGAGGGCCCCCATATTTCCTCTGTCCAGTGGTCACATCCAGAGTGTAACCGGTCCTCTCTAGCAAAGCCTGAAAATTGTAAAAAGTTATCATTAAAACCATTTAATGTGACATGAAGGTTAATTGGGATTGACATTTCCTAATCTGCACTTTGTCAGGACTGTAGAGCAAGCTATAGGCTCCTCAGGAGGCTGTGCAGACCACTGTCAGTGGGCACAGAAGCGTTACATTGTATAGAAAAGTTAACAAACTGTTTAGCTTGCTTTTCAGAAAAGGAAGACTAAACACACTTCTGTTTTAAGCAAACAGATACATTGACATGGTGTCCCAGAAGTAACGTGCAACATATTTCCAGTATTTGCTGTATTCTGTATGATACATTGAACAGCACACTACATGTTCCTCCCAAAAATTGTATGGGGTTTTTGTTTTTTTGTTTTGTTTTTTTTTTTAGGGGGGGGGGCGCTAGTTTGCATCCACTAGGCAGTCTATCAAATTTGTGGCTGTGAAAAACACGCCATGGACCATGAAATCTTGTCTTTTGTTTACTTTTACCCCAAGCTATAGGGTCATGCTCCTGGCATGACTCTTTTCCATCAAAATACTGTGGTAATATAGATACTTCTGGAAACTTGGGAAAAAACATCTAGCACATCGTATGCAACAGTTATGAGTACGAGTCTACTTAAAAACATGGGGGGTGGGTGGTTGTCACATTTTTCACAAGTTGGTCAGGGCATAAAGAGCAAATTTCACAGTTGTGTTCATATACACCTCTACCCCGATATAACGCGACCCGATAGAACAAGAAATTGGATATAACGCGGTAAAACAGAGCGCTGATCAACCTGTGAAAATTGTGTGATTTTTCCACGATTTAAGTAGACCCCTATTCATAACAGTTGCTTAAGATGTGTGCTGTTTATTTTAAAGTGTCCAGAAATATCTATATTACCACAGAATTTGATGGAAAAAAGTCACGCAGGCATGTTCTCTTCAGACAGGCCTCAGTATAGTCCTTCAAAGTAACATACTTACAGTAACCAAAGTTTCATATCAAGTATTTAATTTGAAAGACCTGCTAGTTTACTAGTGGAAGCATGCCTCTTCAGTATTTGTCTTATGTGCATTTCCTGGCAATGTCAGCATGGAAAGCTGCCGAACAGAGTTGTATGCTACTTCAGTGTATTGAAGAGGATTTATGAGCACACTCAAATTTACCCCATCTCTTTCTAGAGACAAATATACCTGTTCCTCCATTACAAAAATTAAGCTGCATCTAAATACATTACCTTAATCTTTGCTTCATCTGGTCCCTTTGTTGACTCTTGTACTTTGCTTCCTTGTTTCTCTCTCTGCCTGTAGGTCTTCATAACTCCACATAAAAATGCACTTTTGTTCTGTAGACGCAATTTATAAAGTAATTCAATTGAAGCATATTATAAAAAGCCATCTAAAGCCACTGGATCTTACACATTAGCTTTTGCAATGTGTCATGTTAAGGATTCCTTTGGCATTTTGATTATTACATAATGTACATCAGCTGAGATGTTCTTAATCGGAACAAACTGATGATAAAGACAATAAGACTCCAGCTAGCACTAACAGGTCACACATTCACTCAGTATAGTGCTCATTCCAACATTAGAGGATTTTGCCTTGCACTCAAAAATACCAATATCAAAGATATATGCCAAACTTCCAATTTGGGTTTGAAACATTAGAATCTGCAACATCAAGTATTTGCTTTATGGGAAGTCAGAAGTGCCAAAACACTATTATACTTATTTGCTCACACTTCTGGAGCTCTCACCTTACCTGTACATGCGACAGGTCACTTTCTTTAAACTGCTGTAATACAGAGAGGGCTCCTTCTTCATTAAATTCCCTAAGAGCATCAATTGCTCTCTCATCAAGATCGACATAAGCTACCAACCCTAAAAAGTTAAAGACAGAAAAGTTACAGATTTCTGTTTAATTATACAAAGCAAGATGGCTAACAATTAAGCTATTTGCTTTTAAATCAAGCAACGGTTATACTGCATATTAGTAAATAGGATTATGCATTATTTAATATTAACTACATACTCCTATACAAGTATATGAAAGGACATGGATATACGAATGAAAAAGATAAATTAAAATGTATATACCTAGGCACTAAAGTAAATTAAGTGCAATATTAAACCAAGAGTGTAACAGTTTCAGAAGCTTTGGGAATCCAGTCTGCTGCATAAAGCAATGCTACATACCAGGGTTTGAAATAATGAACTCTGGCTCATATTTCCAACAGATCTATGAACCCAAAGCTTTAAGTTTCCTTTCTTTGAATGGAGCCATTCCAAAATACACTGACAGGGGAAACATTGCCTATACCTTACTCGCTTGCCTATACCCTACCCATAATATGCAAAGGTAGCCACCTGACTGAGGATCTGAGCCACTTATAGCCACCTCCCACCTCACCTCTAAAAGCATTAGAGATGGAACAATTTGTTTACTTCTTGAAGAAGGTGGGAAGAGCGGAGATTACAGTGGATTTTCCACTTGGGAAAGTACAAAAAACATTTTGACCCACCCAGTTTTTAGCAGCCAGAATCCAGAAAGACATTATTTCGAGCCCTGTTATGTACCCCAAGTACACTATTATTAGCTTTACAGGTACAGACCTAAAGACAGTGGACCAGTTCTGAAGCGCATGTTATTTTGAGATTATTTAGAAGTTTTTCCTCTTTGGAATATCAGTGATTTTATGGAAGCTGTGGAGTGCTGCCAGTTACAGACAAAGATTACATTTTCCAAGAAACCTGCTGATATTTAACAGACTTCAGTGTGAATCCACATACAGAACTCCTCACAACACTTTTGAACATTCTGGAATTTAAATTACTGCACACTCCTTAATCTCCACTGGAGTTCCGAAACACAATAGCACAGAGCACAAAGACTGCATTTCAGAAATGATCCTGCATATTGGAAGGCACCTGTATCATTCACAAGTGAAAAGACTGAGCAGATTAAAAATCCCAAAGTACATTCCCAAATTTGGCTGTGGCTTCAAAAGCAACTAATAGAGCTGATAAAACCCTGCATAGTGTAGAACATCTTCAGTTGGTATTAAGGAAATTTGAACAAATGTGTTTTCAAAAGTTACCCATGCAATGAAGTCACACTAGCTAGTCAATTACTGGGTTAAAATACTCCTACTTGAGAACTCCTCACAACACAAGATAACGGCAACATCTTCTAGACTCGAGTCCCACAAGTCCCTTGCCCAGCCATTTACATCTACCCTCAAGCCATGATGTAGATGTCATCATAACCCACACTTAGAGAAATGCATCTCTAAGCAAATAAAAGCTGGCAGACACTCACTGGACTGACTTCCAAAAGAGATCGTCCACACGAGCCAGAATATCAACATACTGAAGATGGATAAGATATTATTTTGAATTGCCTTCACTTGGTTCATTGAATTTTTAGACTGTTCAAAAAGGAGAAACTGGCATCTTGTCACTGAGGTATTCAGGTAAGTGCATGAAGCAGTTCCATTTATGTCTCTAACCCTGTTCAAAGAACACTCTAAAGAGGAAGAGGAAGTTTCCATTTATAAGACCAAAATAATGGGGAGAAATTACCCCCCAAAAAAACAAAAAAAACTCTTCCTGCAAAGGGACCCTTTCTCGCTAGGATTTCCAGAGACCATATTATTCAATTTGCTGAATAGCTTACTCCTGGACTTGTGTTAAAATGAAGTTAGAGTGAAAACTTCAGTGTAATGACTGACATGGATTCAACTGTTCAGCTGGAACTAGACAGAACATAAAATCCATAGGCAGACTGGAGTTCAAATGTCGTCCCAGGCAAGACAAGCTAGTTGCTTTCCCCACTGAGCCATCTACTCAGCCCTTTAAGTGTTTTAAGAGTCACTGTGAGGAGTTGACAGTAGAAAAGTAAAAGCAAAGTGATGACTGATTTGGATTAAGAAAAATGTGCAGTTTAGTATGCTGGAACATACATCTTTACTTGTGAAAGTCTAAGACAAACTGATGCACTGTCTCCTGAAGCAACTAGGACATCATTCAACACTAAGGATGATTCCAATAATTAAAGAGTCAGTGTCAAACCCAATTTGCCTTCAGGGAAGTGAAAGTAGCAATACATTCAGAGCTTCACAGATCAAACACAGTGAGAATTTTTAAACCTTAATCTATAAAATTTGAAAATGGTATGCCCTCACTTTCATAACCAATCAGAAACAAGAAATGCATATTATACCTGTCTGAAATATTTCATCAAGTCTCTCTGCCACCTTCTGTGGGAGGCCTGCCTCTATCAGTGTCTTGTAGTGTTCTGTGTGAGTTACACTGGAAGTATCCATTGGTTCTTCCTCTTCTTTTAACTGTACCGCATTACCATTCACCTGATTAGCCATTTTATTATGCTGCTGGAAAAAATTCAGGAGCTATATTACATTAAGCCAGAAATAACTAGTTTGTAGGACAATGCATGATTTATCTAAACTAATTGTATACATGCTGCAAATGACCTGTATCAAAATCGTATTTAATGCTTTTGGGATGCAGCTGATCTAAGTTTCAATAAGTACAGTCCTGTAACATTGTGGAACATGTACATGGAAGAATTTACATTTTTAAGTACTTCATGTACATCAGATCTAAACTTAACTTTGATTGTCAGTAAGGTATCTGGTTACCATAGCAGCTGAAGTGTACTGGTGTGTTACATAACACCCTTCAATTTGTGAACAATAAGCCACATCAGAACTACTGCTATTTTCATCTCCCATTCCTCTAATCTTAAAATGATTATTTTTATGCAGGGTATCTTAACATATCAATGTCAATACACGTTTGCCAACTTTCACATAGTTTCCTGGCTTGCTGTCATGACTTCTTTCAAACTCAACTTAATGTTACATGAGAGGCCATACTCTTTTGTTCAGGATGCTTCAGAACTCAAACAGGGAAAGTGCCATACTAAGACATATTACCAATTTCAATCCATAATGGTACAAATCCAAAAGTGAAAAAACACTTCAGGTAGAATGTTTTAGATTCTGCAAATTGTAGCATAACAAGATAACTTGGAATTTTACTAGTTTCAAACGAAGCCATGACTGCATCTTGAATGTCTCATATTAGTAAAAGACTTGATGCAAGAATCAATACAGAAGTTGCAAGGATGTGCATTCAAAAGAGGCACAGCTACTGTTTTAGACAACTCCAATGGCCTTTGCCTAATTCACTGTAAATTTTGTCTCAATTTCTCTATTAGCCAGCCAATAGATGTTTTCACCTCAGCTTTCATGGCTGAGGTTGCAACCAACTACCCAATGGAGAGATATATTAGGATGGTCAACTGTATAAGATCAGCAGAGATTCAAATGGTGCTGCACCGTATAAGACATGGAAGAAGAGTTGATGATGCACGTATCAGCAATGGAATGGTAACTACACAGACATATGCAACACGACAGGAACAATGCAATATGTACTGGAATACATGATATGAAGATGGTTCAAGAATAAACCGTTTCTAATGTTGAAGCCTCAAGATATCTAGTCAGCTACCACAGAACAAATCTCCTAAATAACACCCAAGACAGACAAGCAACATATCCAAAGCTTCTAAACTAAAGCCTATGCACTGTTCTGAAAATGCACCAGGACAAATTTGCTGGCTTGAGCCAAATCATTCTTATTAGACAAACAAGAGATTATGCAATGGATTGAGAGAATTGTGGTGACTGGGAGGGGACAAGACTAAAGCTATATAACAAAGCCAACTTCTGCAGCTGCATGACAGGTTTCAGAGTAGCAGCCGTGTTAGTCTGTATCCGCAAAAAGAACAGGAGTACTTGTGGCACCTTAGAGACTAAAATTTATTTAGATATTTATACATACAGAGAACATGAAAAGGTGGGAGTAGCCATCATGTTCTCTGTATGTATAAATATCTTCTTGCTGTATGTTCCAGTCTATGCATCCGACGAAGTGGGCTGTAGCCCACGAAAGCTTATGCTCAAATAAATTTGTTAGTCTCTAAGGTGCCACAAGTACTCCTATTCTTTTTGCAGCTGCATGGTATACATGTATCCACTTAGACTATTCATTCTGTTTCTTGATCAAGCCTCATATTACTTTCTAATAAATTCAAATAAGGTATAGTGTATGGTTTCTATTTAAAGTGACAATATTACTGTACAGAACATGTTACTAGAACCATGCTTATGCACCACTACCCACAATATTAAATCCCAAAACATTACTGCAATATTAAGTTTGTGCAGTGAATTACACAAAGGTCAATAAATGCAAAATTAAGGCTAAAAATTTGCTTGTGTTAGGTATCTTTAAAAGCCACCCCTCCCTCTAAAAATAGTTTTAAAAATACTGTTTCAGGTACTGATTATATATTTTATATATATATATAAAATCAATCAATCAGCCTTTGAGTCTCATCTCTTCTCTCCCTCTCCCCCCCTCCCCCCCAACTCCTTTGCCAGCTTTTTGTAGCTTGACAATCATTTTTCTTTACTTTAGTGTCTCTCACTTCTAGGGTTTTGCACAAGGAAATTGGATATACAGGGAAAGTGTGAAACTGATTACACAAAGTAAACAAGTGAAATAAACAAATAGCCTCAACTACAGTAATTGCGTTACCTCTAACAGTAAAAATGTTCACAAGTGTGTAGCTTAAGTTGATGTTGTCCCTTTAAGAGGCTTTTCGTAAAACTGGATTAACACTTCAAAAGTCATTTTCACACACCATTAACATCTTCCATCAGGAGAGAATTGAAGACTTGTCATGTTCTCAAGCTTGTGCTGAGAATCATTGGCTGTACACCTCTAGCTGTAAACGTAATGCATTTGCAGTTCCACAGCTAAAGCTTCTCATAATCTATGAAGTATTGCTTTTGTAACCTAATGGTATGAAATATTTAGTGTTACTATCAGCTTGGTATTTATGTAGGAGTATACAAGCCAGTAAGTTTTTACTACAGTATTACTCCAATGCAGAATGTACTTTTAGTATGAATTTTAAGCCTATTTTACTTCACTTCATGTAAGGCAAGTGTATTCTTCATGTTATACATTTATCTTTGCAAAACAAACTTGAGAATTAGTGAGATCACATAACTTAAGACTATTGTAATGCATATGCACAAGCCAGCCATGTTAAAATTATTCATCCTTAACTATGCATCTCCTGTCATGTGTCTAACTGCAAACGCTTCTTTCAGTGTGGTTCTACTCTGAAACATGAAGATATTATGGTAGGAGTATTTTCTGTCTCAGTGATTTCCAGATGACATGCACACCATTCCAATAAGAAGCAGTGATTTTTTTTTCCAATCTGCTAGTTTTGCCAACTCAGACCAGAATCTGAGTGTTAAATGGTGGTTTTTCTTTCATGCTTCATCAACACACAAGCCAAATCATATCCTCTGCAACACCCTTATGACCCCATTGTCTTCAATGGGGCTGCACAGGTAAACTGGAATTCAACAGTCATACTGATTGACAAAGAGGAAGATAATCCAGCTCTCTTCCACTTAGCTGTGTCAGCTATGCAAACACACCAGAAGTAAACACCAGTAAAATTTCTTTGTCACCAAAGAAAGTTAATTGAATATGCTGTAAGATCAGTTGATTAAGAAGGTAACAAGTTTACTTTAATTATTCAGACTAGAAAACAACTTTGAAGTGAAGCAAGTGTAAAAAAGAAAAGAAGGAGAGAAGTTTGAGTTTGCACATGGATCATGCCCATGATGTGGCTACCAACCAGCCATACGTGAAAGCACAAAATGTACATATAAAACTGATTATGTGCACATGAAGAAATTGCACAAGTAACCCAAGTTTCTGGGGGACAGGAAGATTCTTTAACCCAGATGTATGCAAAGATTATAGATACACTTCCAGAAGGATCATTTACTTTGGTATGCATGAGATATGTAGAATGTGCAAAGATGGGTGGACTTCAGGAGGTGCATACATATAAAGATGTGCCTATTGAGCAAGCAGCAGTATGTAAAGTTTGGGAGCAACTGTAGACTAAGTGTGGATGTTTTGTGTAGAATCCATATTGGTGTCCAGGCCATTACCTATCTGCACCATTTTGAAGTTGCAGAATGGTGTTTTACATAAGACTCCATATTGGCACTGCCAACTATGCAACTGAGGAGAGCACTGTATTTTTGTTGAGTTACCTGCCCACCCATATCTCAAAGTCTTAAAGTAACTAATCTTCACTGAAGTCTAGCCACATGCAAAATTGGAACTCTGGGTGTTTTTTAGTTACCTGAGGAGGGAGGGGGGCAGAGAAGAATTATACTCAAGTAATTCAAGTAGTCAAACCTACATTTTTCCACAAATAAAGTTCTCCTTTAGTACAAGTCCAACTACAAGATAATACAGCAGCTGAGAACAGGGACTTGTCCTGGACTACTATTCAGCTTGCTACAATGGTTGTGGTACCATGGAGCAGCAAAGTTTGTACTTAGTCAACTTTAAAGTGCAGCAGGCATAACTAAAAACCTTATGGATATTTTGCATTGAGCCTGCACCAAAGCCATTTCTAAGGGCTTGTCTCCACTTACTGGTGGATCGATGCTGCAGCGATCAAGCCATCGGGAATCAATTTACCGAGTCTAGTGAAGACCTGCTAAAATCAACCGCCGATTGCTCTCCCGTCAACTCCAGTACTCCACCAGAATGAGAAGCATAAGGTAAGTCTATGGGAGAAACACCTGTCGACCCAGCGCCATGTAGACACCGCAGTAAGTTGACCTAAGGTACATATTCACATCACTGGAGTTGTGTAATTTAGGTCAATTTACCCCCATAGTGTAGACCTGCCCTAAGTTACTTATTTTAATTCCCCTCACCCCCCTGTCATCACCACCTACTAGACAGCTAATGCCTCATTGGAGGTTTAAAGACAGTACATTGAACATTTTGAAGTTCAGCCATTTGATTTATTAGTGTATCAAACAAGTTTTTTTAAAACTGAAAAGTTATATCCTACCCCAGTAGCTTTACTGAAGCACAGTAGAACAGATTTATCCCTCTCCCCCCCCCCAAAAAGTTACCTTCAGTCTAAGATCATGGAAAGTTTAAACTCAAAAGAAGAATTTAAGGAAGATGTGAGGAAATGCAAGGGTTTATAATGGAAGTTGAACTGCGACTTGAATTACTGAAGAAGAACTTCACTAGCTCACACTACTGACTGGCAATCGAAAGAAAGTTTTGCAAGTTCTACACACACAAAAACCTAACTATAATGCATCAGTTTTCCTTAAGCCAGTGGTTTTCAACCTTGGTCCGCAGACCCCAAGGGGCCCGCAGACTATGTCTAAGATTTCCAATTAAAATGCAGGGGGTCCACAAAATGAAAAAAGGTTGAAAACCACTGCCTTAAGCAATATTTGTGATACAAATGAGTAGTTATTTATGACCGTTTAAATTACATAAAATATACTACAAAACGTTAATTAGTGTAAAAGCTATAGGACTAAATTTTTGCTATGAAGTTACTGCCTTCGTGCAAATTAAGAGCTTTGCAGATTACCAAGGTCCTAAAGTCTAACTTCTAGTACAGTAAATACAAGGAGTATTTAACACATCCACCCCTCCAGAGCAGCTTTTCTCAACCTTTCCCATAAAATGACCTCATGATACGGGAAAGCATAGGGACACCTCCCCCACATCTAGAGGGAGGTCATTACGACCCCAGGTTGAGAGGCTATGCTCAAGAGTATCTATATAGACGTATAGTGCCCTGTCATCATGGTATGAATGCCTAAGGCTGCAGAATTAACTCATATTACATTATCTACATTTGAGTCAACTCCCTCTCAAGGTAGCCTAACAACACTCCAATTCCACAGAATGATTCTGAGGGCTTGTCTACACTTAAAATGCTGCAAATGCGCTGCTGGACAGCTTCAGTTAAGATGCTACCTATGCCAATTGGAGGGTTTCTACCAGTGATCTTGCACTGGGGGTTAGGTCAGTTTAACTGCATTGCTAAGGGGGATAGATTTTTTCACACCTCTGAGCGACACAGTTATACTGACCTAATTTCCTAGTATATATCAGGCTTCAGTGATTGTACTAGCAGCTGACAAATTGTGCTAACCCCCCACTCCACAAACGGGTCAGCCAACTCAAGTTACAAACAGGACCACACTTGAGTTAAGGGTTTGGGTGTGGATGGGACTCAAGTTAGGGACAATACTTGAGTTATCACTCAAATTAATTCTACAGTGAAGACATGCCCTAACATCCATGAATTTATCTTCCAAAAGGACACTTAAATGATTATTATCTCTATTTTACAGATAGAGAACTTATCTACCACACAGTGATACTGCCAGAATAAATCCATTTGTTTTTGGTGTACACAAGTATTACTGTGATTCTCATCATAACTACCTAGACAGACACTTGAATAGGGATGCTAAATACTCTTAGGAAGCATGGCTTTTAGAATAAAAAGGTTAAGTAGAATTTTGCTAGTCTGCAAACCCTATAATTTACACAGAAAAGCCAGTCACTTCACAGAAAGGATTAAAAAAAGCACTGTAGTTAGGAATTACAGAAGCTTTTTTACTCCTACAAAATACACTGTATATGACACTAGTAATTGTTCTGTAATACATCATAAATAGGACTCCAAAATGTTTATGTGGCCCTCACAATGCTCTCCACAGCACAAAAGTATCAAAGCTGATGGAATCTTCTTGCTCAGTACTGGGAGAGAAGACAAAAAAAGAAAGAAAAGTCTAATCAACTTTCTCTAAATAAACCTATGGTGAACCATAGGTCAAGTAGGGTAACTCGCTACATTCACAGAGTAATGGATAACAAAGCTACTAAAATACAGTAACTAAATCTACTCTAAAAACCTGTATTTTTAATCAAAATGTTAGTGAACAGAAGTTCAATAAAGTTTACAAAAGAAAATGTAATTTCATAGTAATCAGGTCCTAGAGAATTTTATCTTTCTCGCACTAAACAAGATTTACCATCTGGAACGAAGTAGATAAGTGGTAACTTGAATTATTTTATATAGGTTTAATGCAAAACTTAGCTTACTAAAACCCACACTAGCAAAATACTTCCTACGGGTGGTTTTACAGAGAACAGATATGTCATCATCATGGCAATACTGATAAATCAGCATTAGTCAAAATATTTCCTAGCCAATCCACGCACACGTGGTAGTGCAGATAAAGGGTCTCATGTGGCCAACAGCCAAGGGGCTTTGCCTCCAGGCAGCTTCCCTGAGCTGCTGTATAGTGATACAGGCTGAAAAGGGAGAGAGCTGCGTTTTACCCACAGCAGATGTAATGCAATGCGGACGGCGTTAAGCCTAACACTGAGCAGGAGCCAGCGCCTGCCTCTTGTCACCCACATGCAGGAGCCAATCCACGTGGTCGAGCGGAGCGGAGCGGAGGAAGTCAGTCTCCCGCTACCCCGGTCGCCAGGCCCGACCCGTACGCAAAGCGGACCTCCCACACACACACCGCCGGGAAACAATCGCCCACCAGCCACGGCCCCGCGCACCACAGACCGGGCAGCGACAGTCTACGCTCCATGCGCCGCTGGCCGCCTCAGCAGCCCCACTCCCCGACGGCCCCACCGTCCCAAGCCAGGTGCCCAGCAGCGCCTCTGCGAGCGCGGCCTACAGCCCCCGCCGTCCACAAGGCCCCGGCTGCCCTGGGCCCGCCTCGTCTAGCGCCGGGCCTCGCTAGAGCGTGTGGCTCTCCACCATCGGCGCAGGCCCGGCTGAGGACTCTCCGCAGCGGAGCCCGGCTCTCCCCCTCCCCCGCCCGGTGGCGGCCCCGCGACACTCACCGGAGCGCGGCCTGCGCGGCGCGGCTGAGGCCTAAGCAGCGACTGCAAATGGCGCGCGCGCACTTCCTTTCTCCTCATGGACGGCGGCGCGACCCCGGCAACACGCGGGGTTTCCCGGAACTGCTTCCAGGGATCCCTGCTTTAGCCAATCAGCGTATTGGACGTCAGACGAGCACCATGCGAAACCTATTAGAGCTGGGAGGCGAGACACCCTTATTCCCTCTGGCCAATTAGAGAAGACAGCGAGACCACCCGCGCAACGACGAAGGCCGGCGCGCAAGCAAGGGCAGAGATCAGGGATTTAAAGAGGCAGCTGCGTTCCTCCCGCCGCCTGTCTAAACAAAGGGAGGGTGAGAAGGGCCCCGCCCCTTACTACCGAGAGGCCTCCGGAGCTGGGCGGGGCTGCCTGCTGGCGGGGCCGAGTCTGTCCACCCTCCAGCCCCGCAGGTCTCCTTCCCCTTCCCGGGCAGGTCTCTGTCTCCCCCGCTGTCTCTCTCTGCTCCCCTCCCTCTAGTCCAGTCCCCTGCCCTCAAGGCAGCACCAAGTTTTATCTAGACCAGTCCAGGGGTCGGCAGCCTTTCAGAAGCGGGGTGCCAAGTCTTCATTGAGTCACTCTAATGGAAGGTTTCGCGTGCCAGTCATACATTGTAACGTTTTTAGAAGGTCTCTTTCTCTAAGTCTATAATATAGAACTAAACTAGTGTTGTATGTAAAGTAAATAAGGTTTTTAAAATGTTTAAGAAGCTTCATTTAAAATTAAATTAAAATGCAGAGCCCCCTGGATGGGTGGCCAGGACCCAGGCAGAGTGAGTGCCACTGAAAATCAGCTCGCGTGCCGCCTTCGGCATGTGTGCCATAGGTTGCCTACCCCTGATCTAGACCATTCCTGATAGGTGTTTGTCTAATCTGCTTTACCATCAGAGTCCTGTGGCACTTTATAGACTAACAGATGTATTGGAGCATAAGCTTTTGATTAAGATACTGATGCATCTGACGAAGTGGGTATTCACCCCTGAAAGCTTATGCTCCAATACATCTGTTAGTCTATAAGGTGCCACAGGACTCTTTGTTGCTTTTTACAGATCCAGACTGACACGGCTACCCCTCTGATACTTGACTGCTTTACCATCCTGACAGTTAGGAAGTTTTTCCTAACCTAAACCACCCTTGCTGCAATTTAAGCCTGTTGCTTCTTGTCCTATCCTCAGCAGTTAAGAACAATTTATCTCCCTCCTCCTTGTAGCAACCTTTTATGTACTTGAAAACAGTCCTCTCTCAGTCTTCTCTTCTCTAGACTAAACAAACCCAATTTTTTCAATCTTCCCTCATAGGTCATGTTTTCTAGACCTTTAATCATTTTTGTTGCTCTTCTCTGGACTCTCTCCAATTTGTCCACATCTTTCCTGAAATGTGGTGCCCAGAACTGGACACAATACTCCAGCTGAGGCCTAATCAGCATGGAGTAGAGCGGAAGGATTACTTCTCGTGTCTTGCTTACAATACTCCTGCTAATACATCCCAGAATGCTGTTTGCTTTTTTTGCAACAGCGTTACACTGTTGACTCATATTTAGCTTGTGATCCACTATGACTGCCAGATCCCTTTCTGCAGTCATTTCCCATTTTGTATGTGTGCAACTGATTGTTCCTTCCTAAGTGGAGTACTTTGCATTTGTCCTTATTGAATTTCATCCTATTTACTTCAGACCATTTTTCCAGTTTGTCCAGATCATTTTGAATTTTAATCCTATCCTCCAAAGCACTTGCAACCTCTCCCAGCTTGGTATCATCCGCAAACTTTGTGTGTACTCTCTATGCCATTATTTAAATCATTGATGAAGATATTGAAGAGATATTTGCTTGTCAGTAGCAGTACTCTTTGTCCTGCAGTTGTTAAGAAGTCAGTTTCATTATGTACTCAGTGCTGATATGGCTGGTCTGCAAAGGGGCTGAGAGTATTTTGAAGTCTGTGGAAGTACTTTGAGAGCTTGTCTACACTTACAATGGAGCAGCAGCACTGGTGCTGCTGTGGCACTGTAGCAGTTAGTTAAGATGCTACCTCTGCCGAAGTAAATCCACCTCCCTGAGCCCTGGTCTACACTACGAGTTTAGGTCGAATTTAGCAGCGTTAGATCGATTTAACCCTGCACCCGTCCACACGCTGAAGCCGTTTTTGTCGACTTAAAGGGCTCTTAAAATCCATTTCTGTACTCCTCCCCGACGAGGGGATTAGCACTGAAATCCACCCTCCTGGGTTTAATTTGGGGTAGTGTGGATGCAATTCGACTGTATTGGCCTCCGGGAGCTATCCCAGAGTGCTGCTCTGGACAGCACTCTCAACTCAGATGCACTGGCCAGGTAGACAGGAAAAGCCCCGCAAACTTTTGAATTTCATTTCCTGTTTGACCAGTTTAGCAAGCTGATCAGCACAGGTGACCATGCAGAGCTCATCAGCACAAGTGACCATGGAGTCCCAGAATCGCAAAAGAGCTCCAGCATGGACTGAATGGGAGGTACGGCATCTGATCGCTGTATGGGGAGACGAATCCGTGCTATCCGAACTCCATTCCAAAAGACGAAATGCCAGAATATTTGAAAAAAATCTGCAAGGGCATGAAGGACAGAGGTTATAATAGGGACCTGCAGCAGTCAAAGCCAACCAAAGAACCAGAGAGGCAAACGGCCACTCCAGGTCAGAGCCCCAGACATGCCGCTTCTATGATGAGCTGCATGCCATTCCAGGGGGTGCCCCTACAACTACCCCACCCCTGTGCTTCCCTCCTCCCCCACCCCTCCCAGGCTACCTTAGCAGTTATCCCCCCATTTGTGTGACGAATTAATAAAGAATGCATGAATTTGAAACAACAATGACTTTATTGCCTCTGCAAGCAGAGATCAAAGGGGGGAGGGGAGGGCGGTTGGCTTACAGGGAAGTAGAGTGAACCAAGGGGGCGGGTTTTCATCAAGGATAAACAAACAGAACTTTCACACTGTAGCCTGGCCAGTCATGAAACTGGTTTTCAAAGCTTCTCTGATGCACAGCACGCCCTGCTGTGCTCTTCTAACCGCCCTGGTGTCTGGCTGCTCAAAATGGGATGCCAGACGATTTGCCTCAACCTCCCACCCCGCCATAAACGTCTCCCCCTTACTCTTACAGATACTGTGGAGCAACAGCAAGCAGTAATAACGATGGGAATAATGGTTTCGCTGAGGTCTAACCGAGTCAGTAAACTGACCCAGCGAGTTTTTAAATGTCCAAAGACACATTCTACCACCATTATGCACTTGCTCAGCCTATAAATGAACTGCTCCTTACTACTGTCCAGGCTTCACGAGCCATGGGACCAAGGGGTAGGCGCGACCGCGCAGTGCTGCCGACTGGGAGAGCAGCCTGAGGCAGAAGCCTCCAGCTGGCATGATATTCCAGGCAGGACTGAATATCCATTGGACCAGGAGTCTCAAACTCAGATGACCCCGAGGGACGCATGAGGACTAGTGCATTGGCCCGAGGGCCGCATCACTGACACACCCACACACCCACTGCCTCTGGCCCCGCCCCCACTCCACCCCTTCCAATTAGCCCCCGCCCCTGCCCCACCTCTTCCCTGCCCCATTCCAATCCCTTCCCTGAAGTCCCCACCCCAACGCTGCCGCCAGGGGGTGCAGAAAGGGTGCAGCGGGGGCTGACAGCAGGGAGTTGAGGTGCAGGAGGTGTGCAGGGTGCTCAGGGCAGGGAGTTGGTGTGTGGGGTACAAGAGGGGTGCGGTAGGGGGTCAGGGTGCAGGGTGCAGCAGGTGGCTCAGGGCAGGGAGTGCAGGAGGGGTGTGGGATGCGGCAGGGGGCTCAGGGCAGGGAGTTGGGGGTGCAGGATGCGGCAGGGGGCTCAGGGCAGGGAGTTGAGGTGCAGGAGGCATGCGGGATGTGGCAGGGGGCTCAGGGCAGGGAGTTGGGGGTGCAGGAGAGGTGCAGGATGTGGCAAGGGGCTCAGGGCAGGGAGTTGGGGTGTGGCAGGGGGCTCAGGGCAGGGACTTGGGGGTGCAGGAGGGGTTCAGAGTGTGAGCTCCAGCCTCGTGCCGCTTACCTAGAGCGGCTCCGGGGTGGCAGCAGCGCCCACTGGGGCCAGGGCAGGCTTCCGTTCCAGGAAGCAGCTGGAACCGTGTCCCTGCAGCCCCTGGGGGAGGGGGAGGGAGAGGGGCTCAGGGTTCCCTGCTTGTGCTGCTCTTGCCGCTCCTCCAGCTACCTCCCACGAAGCTCCCATTGGCTGCGGTTCCCTGTTCCCGGCCAACAGGAGATGCGGGGGGTGGTGCCTGGAAGGGGAGGCAATGCCGGAGCCCTCTGCCTCCTTCCCCCTCGGCCCGAAGGGGCGTGCTGCCAGCTGCTTCAGAGAACAGGGTGGGGCTTGCAGCGTCAGGAGACAATCCCACAGGTAGGCAGAGGGGTGCGGGGAGCTTGGCGGGCCACACACAAGAGCCCCGCGGGCCGCGTGTTTGAGACCCCTGCATTAGACGAAACTTAAAGAAGAGCATGACCTGCTGCCTTTCCTTTTTTTTTTCCAGGCGTCCCCGACCGACCTCACCGAGGCCGGCCAGGAGCACCCATGTCTGCCCAGTCAACCCCAACCAACCTAACCAAGGTCAGCCAGGAGCACCCACGGGACGACGATGACGGCTGCTAGCAGTTGTATTGCACTGTCCGCAAGGCAAGGCCAGGGGATGCTGCTGTGTAGCACTGCAGTACCGCGTCTGACAGCAGCACCCAGGAGACATATGGTGACAGTGAGCTGAGCGGGCTCCATGCTTGCCATGGTATGTCGTCTGCACGGGTAACCCAGGAAAAAAGGCGAGAAATGGTTTTTTGCCATTGCTTTCACAGAGGAAGGGAGGGGGGCCTGACGACATGTACCCAGAACCACCCGCGACAATGTTTTTGCCTCATCGGGCATTGGGAGCTCAATCCAGAATTCCAATGGGCGGTGGAGACTGCGGGAACTGTGGGATAGCTACCACAGTGCAACGCTCTGAAAGTCGACGCTAGTCTCGGTACTGTGGACGCACACCGCCGACTTAATGCGCTTAGTGGGGACACACACAATTGACTGTATCAAATCAA